TTTTTGCTATAGGGCGCGTGCGCTCGCCAGACAGACAGAGAGAGACAGAGAGACAGAAAGCGAGAAATCACCCCCCAGGGGGGATGGCCACGCCGCAATCCCTTCTCCTCCATTCTCCTCCCGGGATCTTGGGCACGCACGCACACGCGCCCGGCGTGAGTTTTAAGCCACCGGGTCCGGGACGCGAACCGCGGTCGACTACGTGGGAGTCCAGCAACATAGCCATTACGCTAACTGCTGGTCCCTCAATTTTAAGTTATATCAAAGAACCTCAGAAGCCTCTGGAAATGGCATGTGTTTTATAATATTATTATAAGTATTAAGGGTAGAAGAAGAGAGGAAAGAATTAAGTTAGAGTCCAGATTATTAAAATTTATTTTATTTTACTCTAAAAAACCAAAGCCACAAAGAAATCTCTTGATTTACAACCTCTCTAATTAATACATAAATCTGGGGACTATATAATAGCTGGAGCTTGCTATTACCATTCCTATATAGCATCACCCAGGATAAAAAACAAGCAGTTCAAGCAGATAAACTCCAAGATTTATCTCCAGATAGTAGTCCTGGAAAAATCTCCAGATATTTTAGTTAATCCTACTTTGTCATCCGTTTACTTCCAGCTGACTCATCTTGGTAAACCCGCTACCTCATCCATCACAGCCTCCTCTCACATTTTTCAACCAAAGCTATTTTCAACATTAGTCTTTCTTGAAAATAGAAAAAAAAAAAAAAAAGAATGTAGAAATGCTTATGCCTTGACCCAAGGAATAGCTGAAGTACAAGCATTCTCTAAAACAAAACAAAGCAAACAAACAACACAATAAAACACTAAGTTCAAGCCTAGGAGCAAAGGTACAATAACCTCAAAAAAGAAAGGCGAAAAGAAGGGAACAAAGTACTCTAGGGGTCTGTCTGGTGCTGGAAAAGAAATATACGAAATAATGTGTGCATCTGAAAAAAAAAATAATCATAGGGGTAAAAATAACAGAAAATAAAATTTAATTATTCTAAGAAAATAATGATAGTCAATCCACTGGACATTCATAATTCAGAGCTAAGGTAACCTGAGCATTTTCTGTTTAAAGAAACAAATAGGCAAATAAAATATATTAGGAGAGGGAGCCAGCAGATAGAGTAGAAGTTGTCACTCGACTCCCACATGGTCAACTGCAGTTTGAGTCCCAGACCCAGTGGCTTGAAACTCACAGCAATCACATGTGCATGCATGTCCAAGATCCTGGGAGAAGAATAGAGGAAAAGGGATTTTGGTGTGGCCATCCACCATGTGGGGTAAATTTTCACTTTCCTTCTTACTGTCTATCTCTCTCTCCAGCAAGTGCATGCACCCTAGGGTAAAAACCTCTTTAAGTCTATATATAATATGCATTAATATATATACATATATATGTGTGGTGTGTGTGTATATGTGTGTGTATTAGGCTAAATATATATATATATATATATACATATATATGTGTGGTGTGTGTGTATATGTGTGTGTATTAGGAGAAATATATATATATATATATATATATATATTAGGAGAAAACCCAAATAATACACAGGGGCAAGGAGCAATCTGTCAGCCCTTGGCATCCAGAAGCGAAGGGCTAATGCCATCTAATTTTAAGTGTAACAAAGCACATTGACTTTAATTGTTTAAAATCTGAGGCAAAAACTTTTGGCATGCTTTTTTGTTCATAGTACCACCACCACTAGTAATATTTATTTAGTATTTCCTTAGGTCAGATTCTGTTGTGAGCACTAAAGAGGATATTTCACTGAAGGTGACAAAGCCTTTTCCTTATAAAGTTTACATTCTGTCACAATAAGGAATGATAAATATGGTTGGACCAGGAACAAACAATGACTAATACTCTAGTACAAAGAATCCTGCCTTATAATGAGGAAATTTTCTTGCTGAATTAACAGTTTTACAGAGACCTGACTCTTTTACAGTTAAAGAAAAATACTTGTTGGGTTTTTTTTTAAGGTTTTTGCCATAGGGTGTGTGCTCTCACTGAAGAGAGACATAGACAGTGAGACAGAAAGTGAGAAATCACCCCCGGGGGAGAAAAATGCTTCTAGAGTGTGCTTAGTGGGTGTCCAGATGTGTAAAGGAGTTGAATGGGAGATAAAAGAAAAACCCCACCAAGTCAAAGAAGTCCTGAGATATCCACCCTTTGAACCCTACCCAACCAGGAAACAATACTCGGGGTTTGGAGTTGAACTGATTCAGAAATGAAATCCAATTCAATACCTTATTAGTATAATGGCTCTATCTATACAAGTTACTTAACTCTCTTAACAATTTCTCATCTGTAAAATGGAGGGTGACAATAAAACCAATCCCACTATATTAACAGAAGTATTTAAGGGCTTAATTTATAAATGTCTTAATCATAATATGTGGAATACAGCCATCATTTAATAAGTAGAAAACATGATTTATACAAGCACACACATGCAGGCACACATGGTGTTCAAAAAGTCCATGGAAAGTACATATTATAAACTAAATAAAGATTTCATAACTTTTTGAACAAAGTAAAATCATCCTTTAGTTCTATTTTTTCATAAACTTTGAAGTCCCCTCATTTACATACATATACATAGATATACATTCCACATGTCTACATTTTCCTCATCTGTATACAATCCACCTCTTTGTCCTTGATGTCATCTCTTTCTTTCTTTTGTATTTTTAGATTTTTTTTTCCAGAGGAGCAAGACAGAGAGAGGAAAAGTTAGAAATCACCCCCAGAGGGATGACCATGCTGCAATCCTTTCTCCTTCATTATCCTCTTGAGATTTGGGGCATACACACACACAAACCTGGCATGATTTTCAAGTTGCATAGTCTGAGATTCCAACCCCAGCGTTGGCCATGTGAGATCCAGTGCCTTCACCACCACACCACCTGCTGGCCCCTCAATGCCAATTTTTTAGAGTTCCACCTTTCTGCCTTTGAAGCAATCAACTCTTTCAAATTCACAAGTTGTGAACATAAGAATTTAATCACTGAAAATGTGCTGAGAAAGGGTAAGAAAAGAGAACAGTGACTACTGCCTGCCAACCCAAATCCCCTCACTGGTAAATCTGGTCTCAGAACTTAAAAATTGCGTGACTCACAGTGTGATTTTTAAGCAGCAGCATCTTCTTTTTTTAAGTTTATTTCTTCAATGAAAAAGAAATACAGGGGACCAGCAGTTAGCGTAATGGCTATGTCGCTGGACTCCCACGTAGTTGACCGTGGTTCGCGTCCCGGACCCAGTGGCTTAAAACTCACGCCGGGCGCATGTGCGTGCGTGCCCAAGATCCCGAGAGGAGAACGGAGGAGAAGGGATTGCAGTGTGACCATACCCTCCCTAGGGGGGTGATTTCTCACTTTCTGTCTCTCTGTCTCACTCTGTCTGTCTGGCAAGTGCATGCGCCCTATAGTGAAAAACCTCTCCAAAAAAAAAAAGAAGAAGAAATACAGAAAGAGAGAGAGCATCCCCCAACAGTCTTTATGCTGCAATCCATCCAGTCTCAGTCTCCACCAGCCCCAAGTCATGGGTACAGGCGGGCTATCATACTTACGGAGGTATCCGGAGGGGAACCAAAATCTCCCATGTGAGTCAGCCTCACAGTGCCTCCCTCAGTTTGCCAGTGTGCCACCATCCAGTCACCAGCACCATCATCTTAGTACAGACATTCTCAATAGTGACTGCTTTTGTTTCATGTGCTAATGCCTAGGCCATCAGCTAATTTTTAAGAAAATAGAATTTAAATGGTTATTGTGTCCTTTCTCGCATATAAATTAAAATATGTAGATGTAAGTCATTTGCCCTGACCCATTCTACAAAATAAATATAATTCCTAGGAAAACAGGACTATAAAAAGGTTAAAACATCAATGTAATATTTATGATAAAGACCTAGAACACAATCTTCTCCTTGGGCCAATATTTTAAGACCGTATCATGTTGACTTAATAAGGTTTAACTTAATATAAGAGTCTTGTTTTGAAAACCTCCATTCAAAAGATCCAATACTTGTGAATTAGGCAATGGCAAGAATGTCACATCTTTTGCCACACTAACAGGAAAGACTCTTAAGTGATGGTTTCGGTGCCTGGACGTGCAAGTCAGCCATATAGCCATTCTTCTAGACACTATCCATCATTGAACACATTTCCAAATTTCATAAAACCTAATTTAAATGTCTTAACTGGCTGTTCTGATTGATAAACATTTTATCAAAGTAAAAGCTTGACAACCCTGACACCTAGTGGCTGTGAAGAAACTGGAAAAGATCCAGTATGGGAAGAGTAGCTAGATACTGTGGCAATATCTTAAAGCACACAGAATTTAATCATCATGAATATTAAGTTTGTAAAGTAATGACTCTAGTAGCAAAAGCAGCCCTGTAAAATTTATTTTAGCTCTGTATTTATTTTAGGGCCTATATGAGGAGGTGAGAAGACATGTACTTATAAGGAACATTTCCTCAACCTTCCACATTAATCAAATGATCACTCATCTTCAAAGAGCAAATAAGAAGACTAAACGTTAACTCGTAATCTGGCTTACTTGTGGCTCTTTTCCTTATTTTGTGTACCAAAAACCTTTTCTTGATCTTGAGATAATTTTTTTCCTCAGATATCCCTCTGACAAATATAAAAGTCACTTGGACCAGCCATTATAGTAGTTCCCTTTATGCCACTGAGGAGTCCTTATTCAAAAGGTAGTTGGACTTTCACAAACCAGCAGGACTTTACTTTAAGAGAGATATAAGGATATACATGGACACCCACAGAAGGCACATCTGAAAGCAAACACCACATTGAACACGGCAGAAAACTGTATGAACGTGGTAGATCAGCACAGCACAACAAATTGCTTCCTTAATCTTTAGAAGAGAAATCTCCCCAAACCCACCTGTACCTCTGACAGGAAGGACAGTGGGAACTCTAAAGCGTTCATCTCCTCTGCCAAGGAGAGTTCTGACCCCTACCTGCTGACGTTTGAAGGCTAAGTAATCCAGATTTTCCAGCTCCTTCCCAAATTTCTGGTAGGTTTTCTGGAGGTCAGATTTGTTGGAAACATTTTTAAGAGACTCAAATGTCCTTTGAAACTGAAATTGAAAACAAAAGCAGATCATTAGGATAGTAGCATATTTTTCTCAAACTACCAGATAGCTACTACAAAGAAACAGTCAATAACGAGCCTCAGTTTCTCCCATCCATAATATAGAAATAATAAATACTAGCTAATTATCTTTCAATAAAATAATTAAGAATCATTACAAAGGGTTAGGAAATAGATAATGAGTATTATTGACGTAACTGCATGAGTGAGAAGTCTGTTTAGTCTTCATTCCAACAAAAGAAAATACTTCATTTAAAAATAAATAAATAAATAAAACCTTTGGGGACCAGCAGTTGGCGTAATGGCTATGTGACTGGACTCCCACATAGTCGACCGACCGCAGCTCATGTCCTGGACCCAGTGGCTTAAACTTACATCAGGCACATGTGCATGTGTGCCCAAGATCCTGAGTGGAGAATGGAGGAGAAGGGATTGTGGCGTGGCCATCCCCCGATGGGGTTTTGGGGGGATTGCTCGCTTTCTGTGTCTCTGTCTCTTTCTGTCTTTCTGGCGAACACATGTGCCCTATAGGGAAAAAAAAAAAAAAATCTTTTGTTTTAGGATACACTGCTGTTTATAAAGAAAAAAAAATCATAATGAATGTATAATTTCAAGTGATGAGAAAGCATTTAAAAGTGCTCTTACATCCCAAGTATGGAAACAAATAAATGTGTAAAAAGATAGTTGCTTGCATAATATTTTGCTATAATGGCATGAGACCTGGCTTGCCACTGTAGAAATACCAATGTGGGCAGGTCACTCAGCAAACTTCAGCCAGGAAAACTCCCAAAGCTTATATTTTTGAGAAAGAAGGAAAGCTAACATTTTGATGATCAAAGCATATGGGGCATGTTCAGCAAACATTTATTCACTTCTACTCTACAACACAGATGAGTTATGAAATCAGTTCTGCCAAATCAAAACGCTCCTCCTCATTTTTGTCAGATATGAGATATAATGAAGGTAAAATATTGCAGTAGATCACAGAATATTGTCTGCTAATAATTAAGCAAAAGGAGCTCACAACGAATTGAATTGTTGGTTTATTTTAGTAAATTAGAACATATCTGGGAGGGTTAGAGATTGGAAATGTCAAGTAGTGTAATTTGCAAGACATTTGCATTTGCTCTGTTTTTATGTCATTTATTTGCTATATTCTCACTCTGTGCCATTAGACAGAATTTTACATATAGAGACTTAACTATCTTTTTTTTTTTTTTGGTCACAAATAGGACTTTTTGTCACTATTAAAATTCTGAACTTTAAACAAATTCTTGGACTCATTCAACTTTGGCGCCTATCTCATCCCCAGTAGCTTTTCCAGAGCTGCTACTTCACGATGAAGCTCCATGAGTTTTCTCATTTCGAACTTGGGCTTCTTCAGTCTTTTTACTTTTCTGATGAAGACATCATGGAAAGAATAAATGGATTGGCAAGCCTTCTCTATGTCTTTTCCAATGCTGTCATTTGTCTGCACCTCCAAGATCATAATTTCCATCATCTTCCTCCAGATCTGGCAGACCTGCTGATGCTCGGCATAAGAGGTCTTCTATATCTGATTGTTACATTTTTTAGTAAACCCAGCACAGAAGAGATGAAGCAAATAACCATCAGTAGTCTTGAAATCAACATGAGCTTCAATCATGGTCTGCCATTTTTGACCATGGAACATATTTAGTCACAAGTGAAGTCCCTGTCATGGAAGTCAGTCAAGCAATTTTTGTCCTGAACATCCTCAGTAATTAGCTGGAATTTCCTAAATGCGACCATCATTCTGCAGATCTATAAGGCTTACTTCAAAAACACTGCCCTTAAGGCCATCAGACACAATTTTGGTTCCTTGAGTCCTAGTAACTAGTGTTTTCCCAATATTTGTTATATTGAACATAGCAGGTGCTTTCACATCATACCAATCTTTTTTAGAAAATGGATTGACCACTTTCTTCTTGGCTCCCTTTTTGCCACCTTTCATAAGGTGCTTATTCTTGCCAACAGCCATGGTGCTACTCAGAGAGCCAAAAAGGAGACTTAACTAAAACAAACCAGAATTTCACTGTGACTATGATACCATGAGACTAATAAGATTTTATAGAATATAATTAAGTTACCAGTGAAATTATTTGAACCTTACTCTATCAAACTCTATGGAATAAGTCATATTAGAATGGTGTTCTTCTGAACTAAATCCATAATTTCATGAAAATTACATGTTTATCTTAATCCATGGTGACAGAGGAAAAAGAAGTGGAAAATAACAGTGCCAAATTTCCACAGCAGAAAGTAAATTAAATTTTAAAAATAATTATTTAGAACCTACTACACTCAAGGCACTGTAAATATAAAGCATTTCCTGCCCTAAAATAACTTACAACCTTCTGGGATAATGAGACATGAAACTCAGAAATGGAAAGGACACTGACGTTTATAGAATACCTGCTCAGCCCCAGGTACTTTATGCTTTCAAATTTAACCCTCACAAGAACCACAGAAGTTCCAATTTTTCTTCCTGTTCTACAAGTGAATAAACTAGAACTCAGAAAGTTTGAGTGAATGGAGTTTTTAGTACAGTATTCATGCTCTTCCTACTCCTACTGCTAACTCTAACACAAGGCTAAGTAGTAAAAAGAGTGTAAGGAGAGAGATAAAAGTAATATGCAGCAGAAATTCAACTTACTGATACTGACTAAGGGACTCAGACCACAAAGATACTAGGAAATTTGAGTTGGGCCTCAAAGGATGACAAGACTTTTCAGAGTTTCAAATGGCAATCAGTTCTACCCATCAGTTTAAACATAGCCAAAATCTGTTCATTTCACCCCTCCTATAATATAAGAAACAAGTTCCTTTGACATAATTTTAATAAGTTTCATATTAAAGATTAATCATGTTGTATGGTCATTTCACTGTCTTGCCCATTTCTTGGCCCTTTCTCACTATGGCCAAACCAAAATAACACCAGATCAGACTGAAAACAATTCAAATAACATTATCTATTATTTAATTAACATAAGACATTTTATTAATCAATACATATTTATTAATTAATACAATTTTATTAATATTAATTATACTATTTTATTTCTAAAGCATTATTTATCCCCTGCACCTTCTCTTCCCTAAGGAATATTAACTCTACTTCTTAAATCTTTCTGCTTCACATTTATCTCTGTGAACTTTACACAGCTCCAAATGGGAATGTTAGAGGAAACACATTTGTAAGACTTCAAAATTTAAAAATAATGGAAAACCAATATTCCAGGTAATATGTCCATGCCAAAGAAGAAAGAGTAAAAAGTACGATAACAATCATCATGAGAATGTTTTCACTAAAGGTCAGAGTTTGCATAATGTGAAACTTTTGGCTTAAACTTTCATTATCAGGACTTATGTCCTCCATTTATTGATATTAAAGAGCTTAAAGTACTCTAAAATTGTGATGATTTCATTCAAGTACTTTTTTTTCACTTACAATAACAAATAATTGTCAAAAAGAGATCATAGGGAATCTGTGGTATAACTTTGTACTAGGTCTCTATTAAACACATCCACCTCCATTTATCTATGTATACACCAAAAAATGCTAAAAAGTATAAGCAAAAATTTTACTTTGCAGGTGAAGCTAAATTATAGAAGATAAAAATAAGATCGGATAAGCTGATGTCTGATTTTAAAGAGATTTGATGTTGATTTGGTTTGAGGATTTTTTTTTCTTTCCAGTAAACCATTGTGTTTGATCATTGAAACAGACTTCTGAGATATTCTACCTTAATTTAGTGCACTATAATTTCATTACATTGATTATTTCTCAAAATATATGACTTTCTGGTTGGAAAAAAATTGGGAAAGGAAGTACAAATAATTGAAGAAATTTTAATATTTCTAGATTTTACCTGTTTAAAGCCTTGAGAATTTTAAATGAGCCAAGAACTCCAAAATATTTTATTCTGTGTTAATTTTTCAATTCATCATAAACCAAATTTTAAATTAAAAATAAAAGCAAATTGATATGAACCAAAACCAAATTGAGGTATGTTCTAAAACTTGTAAAACTGAGTATTAAAATGGTCTCTGAACTGAGAAACAAATCCAAATCTGTCCAATTTGACTACCTTATCATATATCACAGGGCAGAGGAGATAAGAATGAGAAACAAGCAATATTTCTAAGCTCAATATTCGCTGTAAAAGTAGACATTGTAAACACTCCCAGGGTGTGTTTTCTCATCAAATTCTATCTGTTCCAAAATAATAATGATAGTAATCCATCAAATAAAACAACAGAGACCATGATTGCTCATGTCCCATTAAAATAACTGAAAATCTGTTTTGCAAGAAAGAAAAGCATAAAAACAGCAACAGGGAAATATCTAGTGTGACTCAGCATTCCCTTCTTCCAAAAACATGTTTTTCTCTTTTATCCTGATAATATATATTAAATAAATCTAAGCCAATGTTTTGTGCAAATTGCGCATCGAATGAGTTCACAAAAACTGCGTAGATCCATGGAGTAATTTGAGAAGAAGAACAAGAAGAAATTGTCTGAAACAGCAGGGAAGAATACAGCCAGGGGCTCTGGCAAGTAAAGCTTCTCTAGCCCTCACTGCCAATGCCCTGACTTCCTTTTGTAGTCAAATCAATTGATTCAAATAACTCCATAGCTCCAGCAGTCTACTAATTTCCATAATTAAAAAATAGCAAGTAGCATGGCTCTAAAACATGAGCCAGTTCAACAGCTGTCATTTTTCCTATTTAACATTTTGTGCATTTGTACAAAGTGCTGGCTGCTACCTGTAACATTTAAAAAAAAAAAAAAAAAGAAGGACTAAGGAAGGAAGGAAGACCTTCTGCCCAGACCTCACCCTCCTGCCCCCCAAATCTAGCCAGGACAAGTCAATCACCAGCAACCTATATCTGAATTCCAAGTGGCCCATTTCAGGCATTAGGACCACAGAAGACTTCTGCCCAGACCTCACCGTCCTGTCCCCCC